GCTGGAAACGGGGGAAAAGCGGATATTCCCTAAATATCTTTCGTTGCGCTTCAGCCGCACGCTCCATCGCTGGTTTCTTTCGCATCCCGGTACTCCCGTTGGCGCTGGTGAGAGAACAAGCGTGGTAAATGAAGGATAAAGGGATGGGGCAGAGGGAAAGGGGGGCTGTACTGCGGTACAGCCCGAGCCAGGAAAGCCACCGCAGTTCCCAGGGGGGTTTCGCTTCGAACTGGCGTTGCAGCGGGGCGTTACAGAGCCTGGTTTTACCACAAAAGCGTTTCTGCTCTGAAGGGCGAGACACCACCGTGCAGAATAGCGCCTGGACGGGTGACAACGAGCTCGGTCAGAAACCAGAGACCCGTGCGGGGCGCTCAAAACCCCGGCTCACTCCTCGGAGACGTCCGTCTCGTTTCCACCGCCCGGTGCCAGCGAGGGCCGAGGCGTGGGCTGGGGGCGGGAGGGGCAGCGAGGCACTGCTGCCTCGGGAGCTCCGGCGTTGGGATGTCAATGCCGGGTCACCAAAGCCACCACATCCTTGAGAGGTAAGTTTCAGCTGATGAAGCGTTCCTCTGGGTGACTCAGGCGCACGGAAGATACCGAGGAATTTAAAAATAACAAGCATTAAAAGAAAAATGCCTCTCGACTACTGAGATGGGTCAGCGTAGCCTCAAGTGACTCCTGGAGGGCAGCAGAGACGCTTAAAGGTCAAACAGGGCTCTCAATTAATTAATTCTTGTGATTTAAGAGTTTAACGAATGCAGAACACCTCAAATTCTTGGGAGAGACAGGAGATTGAGCTGGAAAACCAACGCGGCACCTCCTTCAAGGCGGGCTGCGGCTGGTGCTTCACGGCGCTGCCGGCGGTCACCGCGCCGGGCCGAGCGGCGGCGTGTGACACCCCGGTGCCAGCCCGCTCCCGGCGCGTCACCCAGTTCCTCAGCCGGCCGCATCGCTTCCCAGCACGACCTGCTGCGAGCAAGCTGGCACTTTGGCTTTGTCACCGCTTTTGTCCCCCGCCCCGTCACCGCCAGGACAGCAGGTTTGGGGGAGCAGCTTTGTTCCCATCTACTCAAGCCACAGAGGCTGAGGAGCTCACGGCGTGGCCACGGGGTACGGCAGAGGAGGGGGAGTTCTCACTAAGGGGCGGCCCAGGCGGAGCCAGGACAGCCAGACCCCGGGTGCTCCTGGTGGAGCAGCCCCGGCTGGCTCCAGGGTACAGCTTGGTCACCAGCAGGACCCCAACTGCCACGTATTTAACTATTAAAAGTGTTTCTTACCCCAAAGCTTTCCTCTTGCCAAGGCAAGGGACGCTAACGGGGCTACAGCCGTTCAGCCAGCCGCCTGCAAGTTCAGAGGGTGTCCAGGCGTTCGACATCCCGAGATGTCCCAGCTCCCCGTGGAAGTTGACTCCAGCTCCGCAGCGAGGGGCACTGGAAGCACAGAAGGGTCATGAGCGCTCAGGCAGAAGCACAAACACAGAGGCCGAGGCCTCTTCGTGTTTCACCGCGATGCACAAACTCGTGACATTCAACAGCACTCGAGTGATCTGCGCTACTTCAAAATCCGGGGTTTATCACTAGACTATCAAAACACTTGTATCTAGGGGAGAAAAAAAAGCTTCGATAGCAATAAATAATTTCTCCTGAAAGCAACAAACGCATGAAATAGTTACTCAGAATAAAAAACAAACCCCAAAACGCACGTAACCACGAAACAGAGGAAAACATTCATTTTTTCCCCCTCTTTTCAGAAGAATATACTCACCTTTTGTACTTCTAGAGAACCGACGCAGACGGGCCCTGGCAGGATGCTGGGGAGCTGCTTACGACAACGTCCCAGTTCCAGCGAAGCTTTTGCTCAACCACATTGTTTTTTGGTTTTTTTTTTCCTTTCCCTTTCGAGGTCTGCAGAACTTGTGGCCACAGACCAGCACTCCCTCCTGCAGCGCCACAGGATCCCAGACCCACTCCAGTCCATCACCGCCCCGTTCAGCCCCAGGCTTTGCCCTCTGCCCCGCTGCAGGTGAACAGGCCCGGCCCAGTTAAACTGGGAGAGCAAAGGTCCTGCGACGCTGCGTTAGCACCTTCGTACCCCGCAGGCTTTGGATTTTGTCGCTACCAGAGCGGCAACGGCAAGAATCAAAGCCAAGCCCTCCGCCCCCCCTCGCCTGCCACTCCACCCGCAGCTTTGGGGCGCTGGGTACAGCTCCAGGACACCAATTCAGTTCAGTTTCAATCTATTTGACATCCAACAGGCAGTAAAAAAAAAACAAAAGCTTTATATTTTATTTCTTGTAAAAATCTTTCAACACATGCAGACTAAAACCAGTGTAAGAAAGTATCCACCATCGTTTAAACAAATAACTATACTTAAATATAAGTGTCTGCAATTGACTTGTATAAAAATAAGGTATGCTTTGCCTTTTTACAGAAGTCTGCTCCAGTTCTCTCCTCCAGAAACAATACACAACTCCAATACATACAACTGAACCTGATCGCTGTTTTCCGCCCATCCCATACTGCTACGGTATTATGTGCAAAAGTCGGTAACAGTTTCTTTCCCAAATGAAAAGTCTTCTACACTTGTTTTAGAAAATTAGGTATCGGGTTTAAATTAAACAAATCCTATTCGGTTCCTTTGTTCTCCAGGGAAGAGTCCACTGACTGTATCCCGCACAGGGTGCAGCCCTCAGCGCCGGTGCCTGCCGTGGCCCGACCGGCCGCTGCCGTGGTGTTTGCCTTTGTGAGGCCTCTCGAAGGAGCGGGACCGCTCGCGCCGCTCCCGGTGGTGTCCCCGCTCGTGCCGGTGCTTCTTGGCCGCGTCAGAATGCTCCCTGGATTTGCTCTGCGAGCGCGAGCGTGACTTTTTCCTCTTGTGGCCGTGCCTGTTGGCGCTCTTCAGCTCTTCCCTGCCGTGCTTGGCCTTCAGGTGCGGCGAGCCGTGTTTTTTGGGGGCCTGCCGCTGTGGCTGCGGGACCGGCTCCTCGACCGTGAGCTGTACGTCCCAGACAGGCTCCGGCGATTATTGTAGCTGACGGAAAAGCATGGGAAGTTAAAAACATGTCTTCCACACGGAAGGGGAAAAAAAATAAATCGTTGTGAAAGAGTTCAACCCCTGACAATCCCTGACTAAGAGACATAAAAACTTTACTTGCGTTTTTCTTGAGTTTTTCTTCCCCTGCAAGGATGGTTTTAGCTATTTGCTGAGCAAAGCTGATAAATAGGTAACATCTTGCCTGACATTAAGGAGACAAAGCTCCAGACATCAAGGAGACACCTCTAGTACACGACTGATTGGTACAAGAGGTGGCATCAGAAAAGGGGCCCAGGCTTGTGCTGAAGAAGGAGGATTCAACTAGTGGACAGCATGAGGAAGACTATGAACGCTGGGAACTCATCACCACCAGACTGCCCTTCTCAGGAAATCTGATGGATATGTACGATTTTTGTGCACATGAACTGATGAGTTTTGCTAGCTCGTTGGAGCACGGATGGAAGGAGCCATCCCCCGTGCTGCTTGGCGCCATAATAAGGAATACCTGCTTAATATCACTGAGTTGTTATTGAGTTTTCTTTGATTCAGTTGCTTAGGAGCTTCCAAGTTACTGGAAGGAATCAGGGACTATTTCTCCCACAGGGATAAGTGGTGAATGACAGCGCCCATCCTTTGAGCGGCTCTGAAAACAGCCCAGACCAAACCCAGCAGCGCCTTTTGTCACTGTTCCACCTTGTCAAGAACCTTCCCCTCGAGGCCAGACATCAAATTGGTTATTGCCACTTTTTCCTTCAATTCCACCGTCAGCAACAGCGAGGGGAGCACTGCACTGAGACCCAAGTTGGCAGTCTAGGTGTCAGCCTAAAGATTCTTTAAAAACACACAGGTAACGCCAGCAGCTCTCACTGCGCCGCCCTGCACAGCTCCCCCTCTTCCCCAGCCACACGACAGAGGCGGAGGAGCTGAAGAGCCAGACAAGGTGCAACACCGACAGGAGACACGCTCTCCCAGGCGCGCGGAAGAAGGCTGCGGCGCACAAACCGGCTCCTGCGGCGCTTCTCGCTACCCCAAAGCGGGCTGAGTTCCGACAGACGGCTCCCCACGGACACCACGTGAAGGCCAGCCAGCGGGGTATGACCGCACGGGCACAGGGAGGATACTCTGACGCTTCCACCTCGCAGTTCAAGGTGTAAAAACTTTGCTGTTAACAGCACGGCCACCAACAGAACCGCCTCCCGCCAAGAACCGAGCGCCTAAAGCCAGACCCAAGCCTCTCCCCTCTGCTGGCCGGCAGTCAGAAGCTGGTGCTAAGCATCCACCAGCTCCTGGAGGGGCCCCGCTCCTCGGAAGAAGGGAAAAGCCCTGCCGAAGCACGCTAACTGTGACCGAAAAAGACACGCGCCCCAGAAGCCCCGCCCGCTCCCCAAGCCAACAAAACCCCGCTGCTTACTGCCGCCGCGGCGTGTGAGAGCGAGACCGTGACTTTGTCCTCGACCGGGACCGACTGGCACTTCTGCTGCTTCTGCTTCTCTTGCTTTCTTTCCTCATGCTTGGGGGGGGGGAAAACAATAGGGTTACCCTTCCGTGGAAGTAACGAGTACCTCAGAAGTAGCTCAAAAGCAGTTCACTGCCCTTCAGTGCAAGAAACTGGTTTTACAGAAGTGTTCTCTTCATCACGAAGAGATTTTTTACTTACCCATTGTAAGGGCTCTTTGAAGCTTGCTGCCTCTCTTCTGGCTCTTTTTTAATGGTTTTGGTATTCAGAGATACTGGAGACTTCTCTTCCGTTTTTACTTCTCTCGGGGAAGCTAAGAATTAAATTGAAATTCAAAGTGAGGTATTTTATTCACAGACTGTCACGAACATGCTGTATCCTTCGTGCACCTCTACCAGCAGTTACACAGAATGTACACGTGAACTCCACAGCTACTATTTCATTCCACCTTTCCAGTTACAGTACGCTCCTAGAAGAGACCACCGGAGTGAGATGCTCACGGGAGATGCGTAGCAGTTTAAAGCCAACTGCTGGCAGCGGGAGAAGAACACTGTGACCCTCAGGCCAAGCAGCCAGGCTCAGCCGAGGTTTCATCCACCAGGGGTACAAAACAACAGCTGCCCTTACGGCCCACAAATACATAAATTGTCACCTTGACAGTTAAATTTCCAATGCCATGGAAAGAATTAAGACTGGACAGTAAAACGACAGACTTCATTTTGGTACCAGTGGTACAAATATAACGAGTGACAAGACGTTCACTCGGTTTGGAAGTCACTCTGTCACTACAGTCAGCTGATACAGCCCAGAGGTGGATCCACCTTGTCGTGGGAGAGCTACAATGCAAGAACAAGGCATTTACACCCAGCCCACCTTCCCCCCTCAATAGGGTTCAGGGGTTCAATGTCAGATACAGAAAGGAAGAACCCTGCCAGCAGCTTTCCCTCCGTTTGTCAGCTGGCTAGAAGTCTTTCAAAACCCCACCAGAGGTCCTGCCTTTGCTCCAACTTTTCTCACCACAGCTCCCTCTTCACAGAAGGAAGAGCTTTCATTGCTTAGTGAGAAATTTATGCCAGCCAGCTCACAGACCTGTGGAAAGGCAGATGGATTGCTCTCGAGGAGAAAGAACTGCTACAAACACTGCTTTCTCAGAGGGTGGGCTTAAGATCCTGAAGCAGCCACGTAACAAACAAGGGCCTGTGCCTCCCACTTCACCCACCATCCCCGGACCGATGCTCACGATCTCCTTTAAATCTGGTGGGTGGTTTACAGATCAACAGCAGCACTGAAGGTACCAAGACAAAACTGCCTGTTCTTTGTGCCATTAGAGTGCAGACAGACGTGAACACCTGAGCACTTGACAAGCAGAGGAAGCCATTTTCACAGGTCCCTGCTGCAAAAGGAACCATGAAGGCTACTGCAACACCCCCCAACCGAGTAAATCCAGAGTCTCTTTCCACCACACAGGAACATACGCTGAACTCCTGGGTCCAGGCATTTCCATCGTGTCTTTATTGTACGGGTGCACACTTATAGATCGCTCCCGTCTGTGGAAGCATGGAGGAAAGCACTCTGTTTCCCTCTAACCTGCTCTCCCAAGGTACTGAAACTGGTTCCAAAATTTGTGTTTTTTTTTTTTTTAAAAAAAAAAAGGTTTGTCTTGCTGCTTAGTCCTGTGAGAAAGTCTAAACTGTCTAACAGCTCAAGGAGCAAAGCCACTTGAACACCCACCCTGGGACACAGCTAGAAGGCTGGTCAGATAATATTATGTGAATTTCTGTTCAGAAAACAAACTCACATGGTTTGGATGCAGGAGAAAAGCCACCCAGTGTGGACAGTGCTGGAGTTCCGTCTGGATTTAAACCTTTTGCCTTCAGTTTAGCTTCCTGTAGTGCTGTTTTCCTCTTTTCTACTTCTTTATCCAGGAATTCATAATTGGGCTGTTAAAGTAACAACGGGGTAAGAAGCTGAACTAACACAATTTGTATTTCCATCCAATTTCTGAAAAATACTCAATTATCTTCTAATCATCTGTCCAGCAATGTGACTAACTTCCATAACTGGTTCTCCCCCTGCCCTTGGAGGGGCAGCCCGGCAGCAGAGCCTTTCCAACCAGCAGATTTGTACACAGGTGCTCCCAAACACGCTTAGACACCCGTGAGACAGCCCAAGCTGCGCTGAAGATGGAACAGGAAGAGCAAAGATCTCTAGGTTACCTTCTTCCTGGTATAGAGCTTGAGAGTTGTTAAGCAGATCTCCTGAATCTCCTCTTCCGTGGTGCCAAAGAGCAGGAACCAGTGTGGACGGGTAGGCAGTGGAATCTGAAAATAAAACCACCAAAAGCTTAACAGAGATCACAGAACAGGTTTTGTCTTAACACACATTCACCGATTTTCTTGAAACCAAACGACCAGCGATAAAAGGCAACGCAAAGACAGACGGACACTCACCTGCAGAGCTCTGGCAGCGAGGTAAATGCAAGCACACGCTATAGTCTCTGGCTGAAAGCGAACAAACACGTTCGTTCGAAGGCTGTCATTCATGTAATTCCTAAACAAACACAAACATTTACGAAAGGTTGGATCTCAGGTTTACGTCTTTTTATTTAGAGGGTAACAATACTGGAGACTCAATTGACTTTATTATTTTTTCCGTTATCACAGTAAACACTCACTTTCTTTCAGATTATCGTATTTGACATTTACATTTGTTACTTCTGTAACAAAGTTCGCACCATGGCCAGTGTTCTGAAATCCCAATGTAAGCAACAGCACGGAATGCCAGGCAGGTGCATTAAGTTAGACCATGAAGTGTCCATTGAGTGAACAATCGCATGTTCATCTGTCCAGCTGTTTGCTTTAAACACCAATGTTGTTGTATTTAAAAAGAAATCAACAGGCTCAAGACTCGGATGCAGGGATGAAAGCATGGTATAGTTTTAACCTACCATTTTCCAGAGGCTAGACGCCACCTACAAAGTCCATAAAACATTGCATTTAAATCCTACGTGTGCCTCAAGTCGCATTAACTTCATCCAGAGAGAGAAGCATCCCATTTGCTCACTGAGTGTTGGAAAAAGACCTGCAAGTTAGTAATGGGTCTCCCACTTCACTAAGCTACTGGTCTTCCACCATGGTGGCACTGCCAAGCACCAGGTGCCACGAGATACGTTTACACAGCAGAGACCTCCATCGATTTCTACGTTACTGAGCTAAGGAAAGAAACGAACAGCAGTCAGCAAGTATTGACTCCACAGAAAACCATGCCCAATACGGCCGCTAAGTGAACATGCTGCATGCACTGTCATTCTTTTGCTTTTTTAAACTCAACTTTAGCCAAATGCTAAATCAACTAAATCAATGTCGGCAGAAAGTCTACCCCCTGTGTCCTTTAAACACACTACAGCATACAGTAGCTAGGCAACAAATACATTTAGAAACATTTTTAACATTTACTTCTGAAAACAAATATACAAATCCTTTCGACACCCAGACAGAACTAGAAGATGCTGCCCGATGGATATGGACCACTTCAGTGAATCTCGGATGAGAGCTTGCACTGGGTTGGCTGGAGAGAAGGGCAGCCAAACAGGCCATCCCCAGGTCATGGGCTGAGGTGCAGAGGGCAGAGCTCTATGACTTACCATCATGGACTACCCTTTAATTAAAGAGTAGAAAAAAGAACAAAGTTAAATTGAGTTCTCCATTACTGTACTGGAATCAAGCCATGAAAATAGTAAGCAGAAACAAGCACTAAAATATTTTTAAAGTATTTACTGGTGTACTAACTTACATCTCATTGCTTTGCATATGGATCATCAGGCTTGTTATTTCTGCTACTATTTTCCTGGCTACAAAAAGAATGGAAAATAACAACTTACCAGGCTGTCTGTACCAGGGTTTGATTACGTTCGCATTCTAAGACTTGTAAATACATAACGATGATCTGAGGAATAAGGGGGGGAAGGGGAGGGGGAAGAAAAAGACTGTTTTAACATATAAAGCAACAGTAAGGAACTATCTATAGCCAAACAGTATTCCAAAACAATGGGGTCTCCTTTTCTAAAAGCTCCTCCTCTTCTGATACACTGTAAGCTCACATGTCATCCAATCATGTTCAGACAACTCTTTATTTTACTACTTTTCTACAATTTTCAAAACCAGTCCCCTTTAACACTTCCCAAGGAAGCAACCTCCACCAAAGTCCATAGGACCCTTCGCCCAAGCACTCTGGCAAAGGCATTCGTCACAACCACCAGGGAATAAAGAGAAGAGCTCAGGTCATTTTTACACCCGTGTTTCTCCTTCCACAGCTCACAATGATGCCACCACGGTAGGACAGTATTTACAACTACAGTATTTTCAATAACTCACCTTATGTGGATGCTTGACATGAACACAAAATCCCAACTCCTTCAGTACCCTCCTTTCTGCTTTGATTACTTGATTTTTGGTGTTTATGTAGTTCTGATCAAGTATCAGGGGGCTTGGAGTCCTATAGTTTGCAAGAAATAAAATCAAAACTGTTTTGCATATCCAAAAATAGCGGCATCTCTGTTTTCCCTTCCAACCAACTAATGGCAACAGAAACCGTTTTTCAACTCCTGCAAGCAAGTTTAAGCATTAATCTTGTGCTGTCCAAGTTTAGATAAACTAGTTTAGTTCCTGCCTTTGACTAGCTACAGATTAGATGGCCAAGATGAAAAAAAAATAATCTTTTGCTCTGGTGTACGCAAACTACGCTGCTCCGGCTGCTGGAACGGAAGTCAACTTCCCAGGGAAGATCTCAAAGATTCTTGACAGAGGCGGGGGAAGGAGTGCGATACAGCTACCTCTGCTAGGCAGGACCTCGAAGCCAAAGTAAGCTACAACAGGTGGTTTTACTGATATTCAAGTAGCAAGCTTGTGCTTTATAAGTCGTAGATTCCTACGTGCTGGAAGACAAGACGATTCAGATCTTCAGAGAACAAGACAGCCCTGCTACCGTGATACACAGAAGCCCAGTAAAGCAAAGAGCCTAACCTCTGAAACGGTGCCTGTGATGCCGAACGCTGCGCCCACCGATCAGCGGACACCATGTCGCTCCTGCTATCTGCATTTGCAAAACAAGAGCTCATTTCACAAAGAAAGATTCCCAAGTGTAGCACTATCAAGTCCCAATTCCTTCCAACATCTGAACTCTCCAAAGCATTTCTTTAAACTTTAACTAAACTTGCTGCCTGCTTTGTGCACAAGCACCACACTCCATTTCCTATTCTTTTCTTTGTCCGTGCTTAGACTTGACCTTTCAACATTCCAGACTGTGTATTTTCACCCACTTCCTCCTAAAGACAGACCAGCTTTTCCCCCATTTGTAGTATGCCTCACATATTGCACATGCTTTCCACCACAGAAATTTGTTACACTCTAATAAAGCACAGCCTGGTTACATGATAAACCTAGTACACCCCGAGCACTGGTGACAAATTATTTCACATTACCTTCAAAAGAAAAAAAAAAAAAAAAAAAAAAAGTAATGCAAAATGGATTCAAAATGCAGCTTCTGTTTCATCAGACAATATATTTCACAACTGACTTGTCTTTTTTGATTCCATGCAAGTTCCTCGAATGGATCACACTTCTCTTCTTCCCTGATAGGTCACACAGTAGAAAAAACACTCGAAAAACCGAGGTTCCCAGCCCAGGAAGAAAGGGTCAGTTTAATTACAAGGCCAGCTGAAGGGCTCCCAGCTTCAGTAACCCACAGTCTATGCCAAGACTTCTGCAGTCACCTGGAAGGATGCTCATTACCATCGATCAGAGGACACAAGCCACCCACTTCACTAACACAAGCATCATGTCGCATTACCGTGCACTTGAAGCAAGAGCTCCCCCTGCTCTTCCCAAGGGGCTGAGAAGCAGCTCCCAGGAGGTCTGAAATGAACTACTGCAGCTTCTGGGTGCCAGGAAGGACCTACAATTCAGCTACAAGCCTTACTACTTCTGCCTCCTAAAAAACCACCATGTTTTCATGTTGCATAAAAGTAACCCCTCTAGATAAGCATTACTCTCACTCATCAGGGCAAGTCTACAAAGTCTGGGATTTCAGCTACTCCAAATACAACCCAGTCAGAATATGGGTTTTTGTTCAGTTGGGATTGTTTTTGTAAATTAACAGGAAAAAAAAAACCAACTTTTAAAGCTTGAGGTAACTGTTTAGTAGAGAGGCTATGATTTTTTCTGAACAACCCCGCTGTGCCCCGGGGTGGGAGACTGGAAGAACGAAGCTGAAGTTCTTCAAATCAGTGAAACTCGATTCACCTCCAATCAACTCCAACTGGCTATACTGGGTTGTACAAGAACATTTCCTCCAATGTTGCTTTACCCAATTTTATCTAGAGATCACTGGCATTAACAAGATCTGCAAGGCATCATTCAGAGCGTGTTTAGGTGTCCAGGCTCAGCTTATCTTGTTAGCAGAACACTTCATCAGAGGTGACAAATCTTGGATGAAAGAGTTAGGGCAGCTATGACTTCCAGTCTAAAAAAAAAAAAAGTCAACAGCAGGACATGACTGCATAGGATTCATCCCACAACCTGCCGGAGGACTGCTATCTTCCACGTGTCTCTGCATTTTCTGAAAGCTAGGTAAGGAAGTCGGTATTATGAAAACACAGTAAGGTGGCTTGAAGTGCAACAGGACGGACCGTGAGCCTGACTGCATGTTAAGTTCTCACTGTCCTGCTGCAGGGCCACGGGATCAGCACAAACCGTTCGTACTTTGGTTGTACACGTTCAACAGCAAAGCGGCTGGAAACTCCAAATTAAGGCACTCAAAAGCACGCTTTACTCTGTGGTCCCACCTGATTCTGGCCATACAAGTTCTAAGGAAGCCATGAAAAGCATCCGTTTATTCAGAGAACATTTCCAGAAATAGACAAATGCAGCATTTTATCCACTTATGCTAGAATAAAAGTCTGCAGAAAACTTTACTGCACCTTATTACTGGCAAAAGTCAGGTAACTCACTGCATTAAGATTTACTGGTTTAGTTAGTACTTTTGCCACAAACTCCAAAGTGTTGGTATGCAGAGTTATTTAGAAGCTGAAAATTTCAGAGATTTCCCTTTGGAAGACTGTGTAGCTTTCCTACTAAAAGAAAAAAAAAAAAAAGAGGAACTTTGCTACTGCATTTGCTGCACTTAGTTCTCAGTCCAAGAAGTAACCATTTCAGGTCCAAGTAACAAACCAGAAAAAAAATAATTTATAAGCTTATATATGAAATACAAGCTTCACGCCCTATACAGCCAAGAGGTTATTGCAAATTCTTACATGGGATCTGTTCCTACAGATCAGCACTAGAGCTGCAGGCGAGGCTTTAGATTTCAGAGCAGGGAGCACACAGCGCCCGTTTCGGTAAGTCAACCCAACACTTAGCTGCAAAACTTCATCGGGATTCAGAGCCTGTGTTAACAACCCAAAAGATTAACACACACTGCAACGTGCTTGTAACGATAAATTCCAAATACCCTTTTTGTAAATCCCTCTGACAAATGAAACCTAAGTTCTCAACACAGCTACAGCTTCATTTGATGTAATATTCCAATCTGACATGTTTGCAACGTCTACCGCTTTGGAGGAAGAGTGCCCTGCCCGTGGTTTGGTTCACAATGCGACAAGTACTGAACAAGTACAGCGTAACATCAGCATCTCATTTCAAAGAGCAGATCTCTCACGCCAGCCAGTAAGAGAGAAAAAAAGCAAGCTCTAGGTTTGTCTCCGACATTGTCAATACAAGCACCGTAGATGGATAGAACAGTTTGAGGAACACTAAGCAGTGTGCATTATTAACACAGGCCACTTCCACACAACTGCAGGAACCTGTTGGCTGCAACAGAAGGGAAGAACAGCTGACTGAGCATCTCCAACCGACATTTGTGAGATTACATCATGACAGGACTCACAGTTGGTTCCAGTCTCATAAGGACTTTCTGCAGCTTTCAGGCACATTTAAGGTAAATAAAATCAACTTCAAGCTACATTCTACATGTTAAACAACAGTTGCACTTCGCTCAGAACACAGATGTTTTGGCACACAGTTTTTTAAAAAGCAGTACTTTCATAATACGAGCTTTTCTCCATGCACACAAACATTTTTACATGCAGTACTACATGACATATGCTCGTGAAAGATGCAAAAGAAAATATGCTTGTCCAAAACACTTTTTTAGCTTTTCTTACTTCTCAGTATTAGAAATACTGCCTAGCAGTAACTCTGTTGACTACAAAAAGGACGTACAAAAAGAAAATTCCAAGGCAATTCCCAGTTCTGCACACACATACATATCAGGGACTGCTTACATCGTCATTTATATAAATAGCTTTACAAATTCAAGACTGCCGTGTCCTTGTGCAGGCACGTTTTACTGTGAAGTCAAACTGCAATTACACAGAGCCAGAAAGTGGAACCAAGAACCCAAAACTGTTTAAGAAAGAAAGCAAGCCTACTCAGACTACTCCGACTTCATGTGCAGGTTAAGAGCTTCAGTTAACAGAGATACTAAACTAGAGGCGAAAAGAAAGTACAGCAGCCTAACTGACTGTTTCAGTTCTGGGTTGCGTGTGAGAAACTAACTACAGCCTAAGTGTTAGCTTCAGATAAAACAAAAAAACAAAAAAACAAAAAACAGATTAAGCTAGTATTCTAAAAACCTGGACAGCAAAGAAAAAAGCTTATAACAAGATACAGGAGTTCTTCCAAATGGTTCACCAGCGGCCAACCTGTTAGTCCCCCGATTCCAGTGACCTATTCTCAGAGCACTGGCTTCTCCTTGGGGATTTTCGATACTTCACTCACTGTTGCCATGACGACAGCTTCATCTTTATGTACCACTCCACATCACCCAGGCTTTGGTAAATGTAGCTGGTCGCTGTATAGTCGGTTGCAAGGGAAAAAAGAGTTGAAGTTAATAACGTGTACAGATTATGTAACTGTAATCTTGTAAAAAGTACAGAAAAACGTTTACATCCTGCTTGTTAAAAAAAAAAAAAAGGTGAGTCTGAATGTCAGACTTCAGCATTTTTAAGATTAACTTCATGCAGATTCACTCAATCTCAGAGCAACAATAGCCATTTCTCCAGAAAATAATGGGCAGAAGTGCACGGTTTCTCTCGACATGATGCACTTTAGACACCATGTGCCATGCACAAGGGACACTGAGTTGGAACAGGCTAGCTGGAAAGATTTAAGCTCACAGGTCGAGTTCGGTTTCTCTGATCCTTCGCACAGCACAAAGAAACAACTAGTTTGTATTCTCGTGGCAAAGAAAAGCATCACATATGATTAATTAGCCTTCACTGCCTGGATCAAGGCCAAACCATTACAAATCACTGAACCAGCTTCAATAATTCCAATAACCAGACTCCCTTATCATAACTGCGGTAGGAAACAATATCACCGAATTCCCATTCGGCACCAACTTCCCTCAGGGACAACAACTTTAACAAACAAAGCTAAGTTCCAAAGTGCAACAACACTCAATCATTCTTTATTTCCCTAAAACTAACTGGGAAAACACAAGCACGAGGCAGTAGAAGCAGAACTTTTAGATTCCAAAGAAGCACAACCAGGGTGAAGACACCAAGAAACAGCTGGCTTCCTTAAGGGATTTCTACTCTACTCCTCAGAAAAGGCCAGACAACTCTCAAGTTTAAGTTCCTGCTGTAACCTGGTGATACAGAGCAGAGAAATGAAAGTGTGAATTTAATACTCTAGCTGAAAACAAAGTCCTTTTGTAACTATGGATCACCTCACACTTTAATTGGCCACTAAAAGTAAAGCTACTTCATCACAGCTGACGTCTGCAGCCTCCCAGGCTATAACACTGCTGCACGACAGAGTTAAAGAAATTTTGCGTTTAGCAGCAACTTAGGAAACGCCTTCCCTTCAACCATTCCTTGTCCCCTCAAGTTAATCTGCTTTACACACGGACACATACATCGCTTTACACACAAAAAAAGCGGTATTAGGCACTCGCAGCTGAGAACAGCTCTACAACTCAGCAGAGTTACCCAGACCTGCACACAGATCAGGTAAGCTTACACTCCAACTTCACCGACACAAGCACACGGTACCATGAAGAACACAAGTCTCACTGTTTGCAATTACAGATGCCTTCAGCTTCCAAGACTCAATTACACATTCCTTGTCGAAGCGGTGTCATTAAAGCTGCAAACACTGTAGGCCAAACCACACTTTTTTTTTCCAGACACTTTCTAAAAGGCAGTACTACTACCACTGGGAAAAGTTCAGCTTTCATCTTTCATTAACTGACACTTCATTGGCACCATAACCGCATCTGGATGGCTACACACTAACAAGAGAAAAGCATTAAGACTGCTGAACGTGGTTAAAAGTCTGGAGAGCATACAGCAACCCACTAATTGGCTACTCATACCTAAGACTACCTCTCGAGAGCTACAAGACATCAAAAATCAATTAGCAACAGAGCTAAACCCACAACCACGGACCTAAAACTAGAGCTGATACTCAGGACTTGTAGCTACGTAAATAACGAAAATGGGTCTACCAAGTAAACAAAAGTAACGGCAGAAGAAGTCAGCATTGAACTGTACTGCCTACACAGCAGCCAATGAGCACTCCCTTCTCAATTTTAGGTCGTTGAACTTAGCCTGGAAAAATACTGTGAATTGAAAACTGCAGCGTACGTTAGTGACAAGGGATGCGTATGTTCGTAACGAAGCTAATCTTACCTTTTTGCTCTTAACTGACGCAAGTGATGAAACACGTTGATCACATCCCTTATACGACGAGGCGCCTCTTCGATTTTGGATGCAAGATTGATGCAGGCCATAGCAACAATCTGAAAGGAAGCCCCGTTTCCGTAAGAAAATGCTTTTTAACCCCGATAAGGCTAGAATTACACAGCTAAGGAAAAAAAAAAAAAAAACCCACACCAAAAACCCAAACCCGTGGCCTAAAGGCTCCAAGAGAGCAGCCTGTTTGCGTGACCAAATCCACCGGTCGCCCAGAGCAACGCCTAGAGCACTCACCCTCCACCCGCACCCCCCCTCCCCCCCGGCAGGCCGTGTGCCGCGCTCACCTCGAAGCTGTGTTTGACGAAGGACTTCGAATAGAAGAACCGATGAAACAGCACCTGCCCCGTCGCCATC